ACACACACACACACACACACACACACACCGCTTACATACACACGTGCACGCGGACACGCACGCACACGCACAAACACACACACACACACACGCACGCTCACACACACACACGCTCACACATTCATACATACATACGTACACACGTGCGCGCGCGAACATACACGAACACACGCACACACGCACACACGTAAGCACGCACACATGCACACATACACGTACGAACAACTAAACATAAACACATACATGCGCGCGTACGCCGCCCTTCTGTCTCTGTGTTTGTTTTCTTCCTTTTCTTTTTCTGTTAGTGTTTCTTTTTTCTTTTTTTTAGGGAGAGGAGTGTTTGATGAAGGAAAAAGGACGTGTAAGAACAAGCTTGCTCCTTCTTTCCTACAAAAATCTATCGTCTCTATCTCCCCTCCTTCATTTTTGTGTTTGTTACTCTCTTGTAACACCTCTAATCTTCGGCACTTATATGACCTTTTTGTGTTGCAAGTGCCGTAAAACTCTTACTAAAACTAAACAAGCTTGGGTTTATCGTGTTTCTCTGCTCAAAATGTTCACCATCTGACCCAGTAGTGTTTTCCTGTGCCTCCTTGACTCTTTATTGGTCTTTCGTTTTATTTTCTTCTGTCCAACCGTTGCCTTTAGAAATCTATTTGTATTAGAGCTTTTTTTTGCATTATGAGGGTGCCACTTTTAGGTCCTATTTCCTGGGTTATTTGAGGGTGCCATTTGAATGTGCTCGCGCGCGCCTCTGTGTGTGTGTGTGTGTGTGTGTGTGTGTGTGTGTTTATGTGTGTGTTTATGTGTGTGTTCGTGTGTGAGTGAGTATGTGTATGTGTGAGTATGTGTGTGTGTTTGTATGTTTGTGAATAAATAGAAACATATGTCGGTATGTGTGTTTCGCCTTTAGGTGTAATCTCTGGCTCAAGGGTTGATGTGTAATGACCCGCCATTGCTTACTTTTTTTAGCTGCTGCCGCCATGCCCTCTGTGGTAATATTATTTTTAGGCCAGTCCATGCCTTGGCGTTATCGGTCCACATTGTTGGCTGTCCACTGTCCGCCCATATATAGCAGGAGTGCCCTTATTTTATTGTACAATACGTACGCCTCGCTCTTAGCCCCTTACCAGAGAGGGTTTACTTTCTGCCCTTACCCTGCCTCTTGACTTCGGGTATATCCTTCATAATGGTCTAGTAGCATTTTATATGATCAAAGTATTGCATTTTTGCTTTTCATTTTTGACAGCGGTGTCTTTGTGTTTTTGCACTTTAACTGACTATCTCCTTGCTGTTCCTTTCTGTGTCTTGCC